CCAATCCCTGTCCCCAACACCCCGATGTCCCTGTCCCCAACACCCCGATGTCCCTGTCCCCATCCCAGACGCCCCAGTGGCCCCATCCCTGTCCCAGACACCCCAGTGCCCACCCCCCCCCGATGTCTCCACTGTCCCCACGTGTCCCTGTCCCCCCAGGCCCTGGACAAGATCTCTGCCTACATGCGCTCGGGGCGCTTCATGAAAACTCCGATTTTCTGGCGCACGGCCAAGTGGTGCAACACCAAGGAGTGAAGGGCCGCGCCCCCCAGGTCGCCCCAGAACTCCCCAATAAATCATGGGGGGGCTCCCCCTTCTCTGTGCTGTGTGGGGGGCACTGAGCTGCCGAGGGGCTGCGCTGGGAGCTGAGGGAACCCCTCATTTGTGGGGTAACCCCTGGGGGATGTTGGACCCTCCTGGGTCCCGGGGTGGGGGGAGCCGGCCCCCTGCATCCCCGGGGTAAGGGGGACCCCCCGGGAGGCTGCGGGGAGCAAGGTGGGGTCCCTATCCCCCCAGGATAGTGAGAGCCCCCTGCAGCTGAGGGGATTCAGAGGGGGGACCCCGATAAATCTTGAGGGGGGTCACAGAGGGACCCATGGCCCCCAGCGTAAGGGGGTTCCCATGGAGTTTGGGGGGTTGCAAGTTTCCCCAAGGAAAACGGGGAAGCCATGGAATTTAAGGGGCTGCAGAGCCCCAGAACAAGGGGACCCATGGGGTCTGTGGGCTGGCAGTGCCCCCAGAACAAAGTGCTTCCATGGGATGGTGGGGTGTGTCACAGAACCCCCCCGAGACGGGGGACCCCATGAAATTTAGGGGGTCACAAAGCCACGGGGATGGGGAGGGTCACAGAACGCCCTGTTAATGGGGACCCCCATAGAACTTGGGGTGGCCGCAGACCCCCCAGGATAAGGGGAACCCCATGGGGTTCGGGGTGGTCACAGAACCCTCCAGACAAGGGCGTTCCCATGGGGATGGGAGGGACGCAGATCTGCCGGCACTCGGGGAACCCCACGGGGTTTGGGGGGTTGCGGAGCCCCCGGGATAAGGGGGTTCCGTGCGGGAGGGGGGGAGCCACAGAACCCTCTGCTAAGGGGGACCCCACGGAGCTTGGGGGGGCCGCAGAGCCCCGGGATAAGGGGAAGACCGGGGATATGAGGGACCCCCGGGATAAGAAGGACCCCCGGGGAATCCGGTCCCATTAAGCCCCGCCCCTCCCCCTCCCCTCCCCCCA